AACGTTGGCAGACAATCTCCACTTATCAGTAAACTTCTTCGCCGCGTCAATTTGCAGTTGCAGTCCCTCAGGGGTGTCTGACCTACCGACAAAATCATCCGCAAACAGCATTCCTGACACCGACGTTTCCGTGTCCCCTACTCATACTCCCTTCCGGACTGCCTCTACTACTTCCAACAGATCGTTGATGAACACCTGGAACAATGTTGGGGACAGCGTGCAACCTTGTGGGACCCCCTGCTCAATGTCGAAGAATTTTGACAGTTCTCCGTCTAGCATGACCGCGCTTTTCGTACACTCTGTCATCTTCTTCAGCATTCTCCACATTTTCCCCTTGATCCCGTATTTGGACAGTTGTTTCCACAACCCATTTCTCCATACGGTGTCGTATGCCTTTTTCACGTCCAGGAAGAAGCAGTACGTCGGCTTTCCCGCCCTCCTTCTACCTTGGATGATTCTCCCTACCGTGAATTCGTGATCTACGCACCCCCTCCTCTTGCGGAAACCTGCGTGGCCCTCACTAATGCTATGTCCCTTCTCCAGTACTCCCACTATCCTATCGTTCAGCAGCTTACAGAACGCTTTGCCCACTGTGTCAACAGTGTGATCCCCCTGTAGTTTCCTGGGTCAGTCTTGTCTCCTTTCTTGAACAAGTTCACAACCACCCCTTCCCTCCATCTACTTGGCGTATACTCGTTTTTCCACACCCAATTGTATAGCAGTACCATCAGCTGGATCATCCCCCTCCCCCCAAACTTCATGAACACCAGTGCGGGGGGGGCGGAAAAGTAGATGCCTGTCTGAGGAGGTCAAGGTATGGGGTGGCACGGAAGGAAGCGCGGGCGCGTTAGTGTCGTCGGAAGGCAGTTGGCAGGAGCTGTGCGTGGTGGAAAGAACCGGGGGGGTTGGGTGGGGAGGCGGACGTTGAATACAGAAGACGGACTGGGGCTGGGTTTGGATGGGGGGTGCCGGGAGTAGTGGTGCCGCCACGAGCAGTTATTGGATTTTGAACGAAAGAGCACCTGATACAGAGAGCGGGGGAGCAGAGGCAATAGGATATCTCATGTTGAGGATAAAGGGTGCTGGTGTACCAAATCTACTGATTGTGAGTGTTGCCCTGCACACAGGCGGACGGAACATCGTGATCGCCGTGTTCCTCACAACGTAATATCGGTAGAGCAAACGATCCACGCGGAGTTGAGGGGGAGGGGGGAGGGAATGTTTTGGCGAGCGTGCGACAAAAGACTTGCTCCTACCCAGCGATCCCGGTCGATTGCTGGCGTACGTGCCCACGGGCGGGCAGGCGTGGGCGGCATGGGGGCGCGCGCAGAGTGGCAGAATGGGTTGGGTGTCCCAGCACGTGTCCAGCTACATGAGGCGGGCGTAGGTAGGGGAGATGCTATGCACGCGTTGTGATATAGCGCGGCCTGCATGCGTTTGAAGACTCTGAAGCTTGTTTTGGGTTGGGCCTTCTGCTCTCTTTCGCCGGGGTGTGAATCTCGCGCGCTGGCGCGCTAACGACCTTGCCTCCCCCCCAAAAAAAAAACGAAAAACAAACAGGTGCGCATTTTGCGGTCGCTCAAGCACCCCAACGTGATCGACATCTACCAGTTCTTCAAGGACGACCCAGACAACTACTATGTTTCCATCGAGTACATGAGAGGCGGAGAGCTGTTCGACCGCATCGTCAAAAAGGTGGGTGGCCGAGCGTCGTCGCGTTAGCGCCGGGCTCGCTTGGGGTTGGTTGGGCATGGGCATGACGAAATGGGGCCGACGGTTGTCGTCGTCCCGCAGCACAAGCCGCGAATTTGTTGTCGGGGTTTGGAAAAAAGAACACCAGGAATTGGGAGCAAGTTGTGTTGTTTGTTTTGCTTTGGTTGGCTTGGATCAACGGACTGTTGTTCCGCATTTTTGTAGCCAGTCACGTTGTGTTGGTGAAGCCCGCAGGATTGGCTACGAACTGCGTGCGGAGCCCACCCTTGTTTCCCCTTCCGACGCTTGTTTGACAGACCCTCTTGTTTTGCTTTTTCTCACGATTCGCGTTGCGTAAGCTCGCCCTCCCCCCCAACCCCCGGGGGGGGG